TAGATGAAGCACCTTTGATGGAAAGAGTGACATAATTGGCAAATTTTCACAATCACAGCAGCTGATTAGGAGGAGTGACCTCAGGGCCCTCAAAGGCCAGGAGGATGTGGAAAGGAACTTTTATTGGCTAGCCTTTGGGACATCAAAGGGGTCACCCCTGGTGGTGAGCTGTCACAGTCACCAAGCAACCGAGGTACCCTATTTGGACCCCTGTCCTAACCGGGTGGCCACTCTGCTGTGGACACAATCTGGACTCTTGGGACCTGGGGCAGAGACTGTTCAGATGCACCTTCGTGGTCCTAATGCTTGTGGGCTTTGAAGTCATAGTTCAGCAGCATCTTTCAACACAGCCCAGAGGCAGGGCCCCAGCAACTCGGTTCGAGGTAAACTTTAGTAGCAACACTTTGCTACTGAAGTAAGACTTTATTAGCCCTTGCTTCTCTCAGCTGGCCCTGCCTCCTCTTGGTCCCGGGAGCACCAAAGACCACCACTCACTGGAGGGATCGCTGCCCAGCAGTTACTGAAGGACAAAAACTGCTCTCTTAGTGAAGCTTGCTGCCTGAATGTGCTTTTCCACAAAGGAAAACTGGCACATCTTGCTTTCAGGGTAATATGGGTCTCTGTGTGAGAAAATAAACCAGGAAATGTTTTCCATTTGTTCTTCAGAGGTATTTGTGTATGTTTTGGTCAGTGTCAATAAATATCTTTCACCTCGCTATTTTACTTTGAAATTTTAAAACTGTTTAGAACCATAGTAAAATACACATTTCACACTCAAACACAATCTCCCTTTATTAAAAATGAAAATAAAGGAGGAATACTAAATTCACCCAGGCTTGCAACACTTACCAGGAGGGAGCTGTGATAGGAAGAGAAAAAAATTCACCCTGGTTCCATCATGGTTTTTTCCCACTTAAGTTACCAGTGGAATAAGTAACCTATATTTTCACTTGGGCAGGTCTAATCTGAGTTTTAAAAAGAACCTTTTTGGGGACACTCTTCTTTCTGACTCTTGCTGCTTCTGGCCATTTTGGTCACAATCATATTAACAGATTCAGAGACTAATTTTCACAGAATGGATAATAGCTTGTTAAAATTTTAATCAGTCTCTTCATCTCCAAGATGAACTCCTAAATTATAAGGTGCATCTTCTATTCCTAAAGACATCTAGAGAGAAAGATCTATCTTCCCTGTCTCTCCAAAAATGTCTATTCCAGAATTCTCTATCCTTCAAGTAAAAAGCATATAGATATTTCAGTATAAATCCTTGCTCTGATAACTATAAATATCTTTCCGTTTTTCCTGACAGGCTATGGAAATAACCATACGTGAAAATAGGTAAAGATGTTCAAAATCCCTATGGAGTTCTTTAAAAAATACATGTGCTCGGTTGATTTTCAAGCCCTGCAAACTCTGGGGCTTTGTGTAGCCACCCAGGGGAAGCTTCAGCATTATCTGATATATCTCTATTCATAGATTCCTCTTGGTAATTTTAAAATTTAATATTATGACTTCTCAACTGAATCTAAGTCTCAGCACTTTCTTGATAAGTTCTTCCTTTTCACTTTGTCCTTGCTATGTAATGAGCTCAGATCTCGTGGAATTCACTCTGTGGCTCTAACAGAAATTCACTCATCTTAGGAGAAAACCACCCTGTTTCTCAGCATCATAAATAAGTTTCCCTCAAAGGACATTTCCCACCGATTGAAGATCTTAAGGAAACCTTCATCCCTTTAGAGATTTGTTGCAGAAAGGAAAACATTTTTGCCCTGTTCCTTCCAGGTTTCATAAATTCACGTGCATCTCATTTGTAGTCCAAGCTTCTCTGCACTTCATCAGGGCTGCATAATTGCTGGAGTCCTTCCGGCGACACTTCCAGCCCACTCTCAAATGGAGCCCTGCTCATTCAGAAAAGGGGAAAAATAATCGCTGCAGAGGTGCTGGTGGTGGTGATGTTGTGTGTAAGGGCTATATAAAATGAAGGTGAGCAAGCTGAAATCGTGGGATTAGCGAAAAGTGAAAAGGAGTATGTTTTCCTTCTTAGGACCTAGGACACACCATTCAAACTCAGGATCAAACTGAGGTTTTTAAGGTTCAACCATCGCTGTCTTTCTCAATGAGAGAGGCATAGCAGTAGAGTATCTATTCTGGAGCCAGGCCTTCCACTTCCTGGCTGTGTCCTTGGCCTGTCACTTACCTCTCTAGGTCTTAATTTCCTCATCTATAAAGCAGGGATGATTACCTTACAGAACTGTGAGAATTAAATGATTATGCAATGTGCTTAGAACAGTACCTGGGGCATAGTAATCACTCAACATATGCTAGCTATTATTATCATATCGTAAGCTTTTTTAATAATTGGTCAGCCTGGTCCCAGTCCTTAGGCAGATTGCACCTGCACAGCCAGAAACAGTGAATAGAGGGGTCAGGTGCATGGAGATGGCTAGCTATAGGAGTGGACTAAGACTTCACATGGTTAGCTTTCAACTCATTTGCACCTCTAAACCTCCATTCAACTCATTCAATAAACATTTATTGACCCTCTGCTAAAGGCCAAACAATGTTAGGAAGGCTGTAAAGATGAATATGCCTGCAAATTGTTGGAAAAGACAAACACAGGAACAGATAACTGAGAAATACAGATCACCATGGGAGCTCAGAGAAAGGGCACGTTGGGGCCAGTAATATGTGGAATGAAGGGAGTTGTCCTAAAGCGGAAGATGCCTGAGGCTTGAAATAGAAGTAGAGTCAGAGGGTGTGGAAGAGACATTTCAAGTAAGGAGGGAAACCCAAGCAAAAGTCCAGAGACACAAAAGAAAAGACCACAGGAGTACACATTCGGAGGTACTGCAGAATGTGTTTCTCCCCTCTGGATCAAGGTGTCCAGGGAGAAAATCCATCTATCTCGGCCTCTTCCAAGCACTCTGGTACAAGTGGTGGGAAAACATGGAAGTGTCTCTCTCAACTTGGTAACTGATCAGGTTCCATAGAGAGCTGGATTATGGAGGACTGCTGAAACCCTGGGGAAGCATTAGTCAAATCCATTTCACCTGCCTTCACTAATCAAGGTCCGCTACGAAAGACTTGCCTGTCCTCCAGGTGGCACGGAACCTAAACAAGATGTTTGCCCCGTTGTTCTCCGGGAATTGGAGTCAGCTGTGTCTAGCTGGAGCTGCGCTGGTTAAGACTGGATAGGACCAGGACCCTCCAACTGGGCATGCGTGAGTGTCCGCTCCGTGACCTTTTGACGTCAGCGGGCTGAAAACTCCACCCTCAGAGCGTGCCAAGCGCCTCGGTTTTAGAACGTGCAGAGCCATGGAGCTTAGTTACACCTGAGCAGAGCCATGATTACCACGGATTTTTCCAATCTTTTCCCCACGCCCCCCACGCCTTTGCAGGCCCTGCCTCTTTATTTGTTATCCCGTAAATATCCCACCCCCTAAGCCCTTTGCTTTTCTGGGAGGTGGATTTGAGATGCTCTCTTTCGTGCTTCTCCCTTGGCGGCCTTGCGAATAAGCCCTCGCTTTGCTGCAAACCTCGGCGTCTCAGCATTTTGGCCTGCTGAGTGCTGGGCAAAAGGATGACACCATGTCCCCTCACCCTTCCACATCCACCTCCATCATAAAGCAACTGGGTTCTGGTCAAATGGCCAGTTGGGTATCTACCTACTGATCCTAAGCCACAAGAAACCAAAAGTAAAGGGGTTCCTGGGGGCTACCTGAAGATGCTTATTGCAAGAGAGGGAGCAGAGTTCTAAGTGGAGGAATAAAGTGGTGGTGGGGAGGGGAGAAGTCTCACTTTGCTCTTCTTTATTTTCTTATCTCTGTTTCAGTAAAGTTTTCTTCCTAAGGTTTTATCTTTTCTTTCCTTTGGAACATATTCCTGTTTTCTCCTTTTACCTGACTCTGGGGTTTCTGTATATTAGATGAGACAGCCACCTCTCCAGATCTTGCAGGATTGCTCTTGTTGTAGGAGATGAACCTTATTGTTCAAACCTGCCCTAGCTTTATGGTTATCTCCCAAACCTTCGTGATCGCCCAAGCAGCCTATTTTATTTTTCATGGCTCGCAGTGTTTGAGGTGTGCCAAGACCTATCAGTGTCTTAAAGGGCGGGGGGACCTCAGTCAGCACCTAGGTTTAGGCTGCTTACGAAGCCAGACCCTCAGGTAGCAGCTTTAAAATATATAAATACAGTAAAATATATACAGTGCTATGGGAACGCAAGCAAAAGCCCTGCTGGACAAGAGAGCCGGGTGATCTGGAGGTGTCCTCTGGACGACAGTTGCAAAAACTAGGGCGCCAGAAGAGTGTATCAACTCCTTTCTGGGGGATACCGGTGAGCTGGAGCCAGGCAGAGGGAGGGTGCAAAGATGGTGGCATCCCTGCCTCTGTTCCCCTGGGCTGCAGCAGCAAAAACCTGGGGCACCCCTGTGGGAGATGCTAGTGCAGGGAGAGGGGAGTTGGCTTTAGGGAGGCGCCAGCCAGAGGGGAGGCGGCACCTGCAGAGGGTAAAACAACTGGACTCCACTGGCTTTAGGGAGTGCCAGTGTCTCCATCCCCATTCCGGAAAAGTACGGGGCTCCGCCCTGTAGGCGGAGGCTTTAAGATCAGCACATGAATCTCTTTCACATGAAGTCTGTGCACTTCTCAAAGGGCTGCTTCTGCACCGGGCCCTGGAGAGAGTGAGGCTGAAGCCCTTTAAAAGCTGGTCCTCAGGTCCCTACAGCCCTTTGGGTCTTGGGGTTGTGAGCCCCACCGGTTTTCAAGCCAGGTGTTTGGGGGACTTGTCTCAAGTGCTGCTATTTGGGGTGCCAGATGTGAGGGATAAACCCTTTGTTCCTTGGGGAGAAGTTTGAGAGTTCCATCCAGATGGTGGGTTGCCACGCTGGGGGTTTAGGGTGAGACCACATCTCAGCCTCTCCTACTCGCCTCTGTGTGGGCCTTTTCTTGTTTTCTGATGTGGT